AAGCTGGATGTTGCAGTTGGAGGAAGGAGGCAGGAGGTTTTCCAAGTTCAAGAACATAGAGAGCTTCTCAAAAGCAAGAAAGGCCATCACAAAAACAGGATGGGCTGGCTTCTAATAGATTTCAAAAACAAAATACCAGCATCTTCTCTTCAGGAGCTCACTCTCAACTCCTCTCCTTTAATCAAAGAAATACAGTAAGGGCTGGAGAGACAGCTCAAAGGAGTGAGGGCAGCTTTTCTAGAAGACCCTGAAGAGCAGAGCAGTTCTCAAACATCTGTAATTCCAGTTCCAGGGAATCCAACATCCTCTTCTGCCTTCCGTGGACACCAGGCATATAAGCGTACATGTATGCATACATACATACAGGTAGAACACCTATACATATAATAAAGGAGCGTGGCTCACCAAATCAAAAACATTAAAACCTAAAACAGAAAAACAGAGCAATGCATTCAGAGAAGATACTGCATCCAAAAAGTATACATGCCATAACTGTGAACAAGTGGTCTAAGAAATTAAATACGAAAATTGATGAAAACTATGGAAAATAAAGGATTTATGGAGTTTTATAACATAAAGCTTTCAAAAAAAGAGAAAGGGAAAAAATAAAAGAGGGAGGAAGAAGCATGGGGAAGATATGAAAAGAATGAAAAAAGGAAAAGTAGATGAAGAGGGAAGGGGAAATGGGAAACCTTCCAAGCCTCCAACCAAACCCGCCTACAATCACTGGGTACAATAAATGAAGCAAAGGTAGAAAAAACACCAGGGTTTCAAACTGAGGTCCTCAAACTTCCAGAGAACGGACAAGGGAAAGGCCAGAATCACAATGGCAGCAGACTGACCATTCTCAGAAACCAAAGTCACTGAATCAATGCTTCCAAACTCAGAAAACATTTACTACCTAGAAACGTATGTCCACTCAACTAACTACAAAACTCCTATACAGATATTTTCAAATATGGTAGGATTACATATACAAAACCAAACAAAAACCCCACTCCACTACCCATGTACTAACCAAGGAGAAAATGACTCTAGCTGGGTGTGGTGACACACACCTTTAATCCCAGCACAGGCAGAAGATGAAGCTCTGCCATTTCAAGGCCAGCTTGGTCTACATAGTGAGGAAAGGAAAGCCAGAGGTACATAGTGAGACACTGTTTAAAAGAAAACAAATAAACAAACAAACAAGGCTGTGATGAAGAAAAAAAAAAAGAGAAAACAAAACAAAACGAGGGGAGAAGCATAGGATGCAGAACACAAAATCCAAAATAAGAGACAGAAAGAATCCCCAAAGTCATTCGTGATAGAAATCCAACAAAGAGAGGGGCACAAATAAAGAGCTTTCTTTTTAGCACCTAGGAATCCAGTGCAAATCATGTAAAACTGAAAGTCAAAAGTACTTAGTTACCAATTATGAGATGTGGTCTGCTATTTCAAACATATTAGCAAAACCAAAATGAGAAAAAAAAATTACAAATTACAAACTAAAATTATACTAGAAAAGGGACAAAAAAATTAAAAGAAATTAACGACTTTTTTTGAGAACATAACCAGCACATGGTTATCACTTAAAATTCTTAACAACTGAGATAGGTATGTTTATGTAGCAAGGCAGCAGAGAATATATTTACCATGCATAAAACCCTGGGAAAAACATACAAAAGGAATTTTTAGAAATTCAATTTTATCAAATATACAAGTCTGAAATTTTAGAATTGTTTTTCTAAAAAGAAATACTCATATAAATCTTAAAAAAAAAAAAAAAAAAAAACAGTGTGTGTGAAAGATGTCTAAGTAGTTAAGAGCACTGGCTGCTCTTTCAGAGGCCGAGTTCAATTCCCAGCAAACACATGGTAACTCACAACCATCTATAATGAGATCTGGTGCCCTCTTCTGGCATAAATAAAAGCAGAACTGCATACATAATAAATCTTAAAAAAAGAAAAATCATTTCAATCACTTTTTCATTTATTAACATTAAACTGTAAAATAAATCTTTTAAGTATCACATCTCCATGTCTTGCTTATTTTCCTCAAACTATTTGTGCCTTTTCTTGATCTAACAGCCCACCTTTGATTTTTTTTCCTTCATTGACCTATTTTTCAAAAACGCAATTCAGAGAGAAAAGAGAAGCATTACCTGTAATAATTTTGTAACTGCTTGCTCTCTTCTTTAGGTAGGCACAATATGAAGGAGTAACTTCCTGGAGAAATACCACATCTGGACTATATCTAATTAAAACGATCAATAAAAAAAAACATTAGTGTATCATTTTCTGCTAAAGAAAATTCCAAAACATATAGGAAAACTGTTACCCTCCAAACCCCTAGTATTTGTTACTTATGCTGACCTTTATCTGTATTATTTACTACACAATACCATAGTGACCAATTAAAAATGGGCTGGAAGACAGAATACTTGCCTAACTAGGCTTAATTCAGGCAACTCCACTACACATCACCCCAGTGGAATTAAAACAAAACATTACATATACTACACTGAGAGTTTTCAGTGGTTATACATACACTGTTACTTCTTCAGATTCTCTTAAAAAGCTGTTTAGTGCCAACAGCTCCAGAGAACTTCAGTGCTTTACCTAGTCACAAAGCTCAAGGCCAGAAATTTTCATTTCATAGCAGTAATTATAGATAAAACTTACCATGTAAAACTTAATTGTAGAACACATTAGTATAAATAGGTGTTCCAAGGCCCTCTGTAGACCCAAACACCCCAACTCTGATATTTATTCTTGAGCTGACCTTAAAGCCAAAATTTCAAGCACACAAATTTGAACTGTTGCTTTGCAGAACCATTAAAACACTTATCACAGTCACTACCACATAAATGACAATGCTTACAAAGCTAAGCAGGAACACACCCCTCGAGCCCTCTCTGGCAGATTGCTTCCATCTAGTCCATCAATATTCCAGGTAATGAAAGAGATAATGCTGCTATCTTCTAGAGGAGGTCCAGAAGGACTGGTTTCTAAAATGGTGGTATCATTTGCATCCTCGTTGGTTAGATCAACACTGGCAAGATCAAAATAAAGATTTTTTTAATCTACAAATTATGAGTTATATTTGGGGACTATGGCAGAAATTCAGTTGGAGCCCCACTCATATTAAATACTGGAAGTTGTGGCATGCTTACAATCTCAACACCGGGAGGGTGAGACCAGTAGATACCCGAGAGGCCTGTTTTATCTTAAATGATGAGTTCAAGGTCCCAGTGGGAGACTGTCTCAAGAAGGAGCAACAAACACTACTACTCCTGAAGAATCCAAATCTTACCTCTGGCTTCTAAACAGATTGTACAGACTATGCCTTCAACATGAATTTTGCTTTATATGTTGCCTTAAATTTGAAGACACATAATGATCATTCCTAATCAGAAAATCCATATCCTAAATTGAATTGCCTCAGCTCAAACAGCTTTTCAGCCCGAGCATTTCGGATAATGGATACTTATCCTATAAATAATTCTTTGACAAATCCTGAGAGTCTACAGAAAAGCCAAAATTGGGCTGGAGATAGAGAGAGCTCGGTGGGTAAATGTGCTTGTTGCCAAGCCAGGTGGACTGAGTTCTACCTCCAGAATCCACATGATGGAGCTGAAAGTTGTCCTCTGCCTCCACATGCTGGCATGTGTCTGTCTTTAGAGTGAACACTTTTCTCTGGGAGAGAGTTGTTTCAAAAGCTTGACTCTGGCTTCTTGCTGCATAATGTGTCCCTCCTATATGTACACTAGCCATCTACCTAGCCACATGTAATGGTTTTCCTCTAAGTAGTCAGCTTCAGGCACTTTGTTAACTTCCGATTCTTACAACAATTACCTACTTTCAAAACTGAAAACAGTAAACAGAATCTGTAACCAACTATGAGCCTAAATTCTCCAAATGCTAACATTTTCTTAATAACAATTATTTACCTTAGTCTCATTCCAAACCACTTACTTCCATCCTTTCCTGAAGACTTGCTTACATACACCCTACAACCTACACTAAGAACAACATTACCACAAATATAGCATCTCTTTTAATATCCTTTTAACTGGAACATTTCTTTACTCTTCTGAACACCATTTTTTAAGAATGCAGAACTAAGGAGGCAGAAGCAGGTAGATCTGAGTTTGAGGCCAGCCTGGTCCACAGATCAAGTTCCAGGGCAGCCAGGACTACACCGGGTGACCCGGTCTCAAAACAAACACACCAAAAAAAAAAAGCTAGTCTCGTTGGAAGTGACCGTGGTCCTTCGGAGAAAAGCGTTCCCTCGGATTCCCAGCCCCGGGGCGCCGGCAGGCAGCCCTTTCCAGGTCGAGTCTTTTAGCGCCCATGGCGGCCCCCGTCCCAGCAAGCTGCCCGCGACCCCCGGCGCTTACTAGGCCTCGGATCTGAAGGACACGGGAGGCTGGCGTGGCCACGCGGGGTCGTTCTCTGGCGGTTCGAAGTAGGCGCTCAGCGCTCTCTGTAAAGCAAAGGCACAAGGATGGAGGGCACGCTCCGCCCACCTGGGAAGAAGGGAGGAGGCGGGACACGCAAACCTACATCCATCTGCCAGTCGTTCTCGGACAGGAAGTTGTGAGCCATCGTGGTGTCGCACTTCGCCACCAACGCAAACCCCATGCACTGAAGCCGCCGCCTCTTCACCCGGTGGTCGGTCTCCTCCTCTGTCTCCGCTGCTGCGGGCGCCGCCGCCGGCCCTGCCGGTTGCGCCGCACCTGAACCGCTCCCAGACTCCATCAACGCCGCGTCTCTTCCAGCGCGACCGGCGGTAAACGCCGGGCCCTGCGCAGGCGCGTTGCGTGCGGGTGCGCGTGCTTCCGCATCAACCTTCCGGCGGGAAGACCGCCCTCCCTAGGTCTTAGGCGAGTCTGCGCAGCGAGCGAGGCGCCGACACCGTGGAGAGGGTAGGGCAGGGCAGGGCAGGAGGCTGCGCGTGCGCGGCGGAGCCCTGGCGAGTACAAACCCGTGGAGCTCGAGCTCCCAGCACTTGTGCAGCGGGAGCGCGCGACCCTTCACCCGCCGCGCGCCGCGAAGCGGGCTGGGCTTGCAGATTTGACCTTCCATGTTCTTGTACTTGGCAAGCGTCTGTCTCTTCCCAGAGTTTATTCCCGCAGAGCCCAGAATCTTGAGTTGCGTTCACGATGAGCAGCATGACACAGAATGTACGGGAGATGATAAAGGTCTTGTTCAGAGTTCCCGGTTTTGATAGAGTTTTGGAAAAGGTATTGTAAGGCGAAGCCTCTGGTCAAGGGACGAACCTAATAAAACACCCGAGTTAGAGATTTCTGTTTGGTGGAGTGCTCTGGTAAGCGCACCTTAGTGGCCTCTCAAACGCCGCAGGGAGCGTGGATTCTCATCTAAACGTAAATAAGCATGACTGTCACAGGTTTGGTCTTTTCACCAGCAGATTGTTGGAGTGAGCCAAGAAAAAAGTCAGTGTACCATTTAAGGGACGCTGGAGACGGCAGGACTAGTATATAGGAATTGTTTGTTTTAAGGTATGAAAGCAAAGTATGTTTGAGGCACCGAAGTCAATCACGGACAGCTTGTTCCTATGTTGTGTTTCTTGGTTTTGAGACTGGTTCTTACTCTATAACGTAGGTTGATAAATGTTGTATTGCATGAATGTCTGTTTTTCCAATTAAGGAAAAAAATGCTTGGAAATTTGGAAAGTATTTGGACATGAAATAATATTGGTCAACTACAGGCATTTGAAATCTTCCTCCTTTATGTGCACAAAGTGTCAGGGCTTTTGTCTAAAATAGGAGATAACACTTTGGTAAACGTATTTAATATTTTCAAATAAATATTTAAAATCCAAAGACATTATTTGACAGTGACTTTTTGAAAGGTAATATTATCCAAAAAGAATGTATTGCTCTAAGAGGAAATTTGAATTGTTATTTTTTAAAATCTGTTGTGAGAATTGGGATGTAGTTGACAGCATGCTTGCAGGTTGGAGGCCCTCCATTGCTGGGGATCAATAGCCATTTCCTCCTTAAGTTTTCATTGTCACCCTTGTGGGTATTATACTATTTTGTAATTTGTTTTGTTTTGTTTTGTTTTTCTTTTTCTATTTAAACAGTGTCTCTTTATATAGCCCTAGTTGTTCTTGAACTTGATGTGTAGACTCTGCCTTTGAGTGCTTGGATTAACAGTATGTGCCGCCACATCTGACTATATTGTGTGAAATAATTTTGCCATTGATTTGATTGCCTTTGAGTAATTAGTTAAAATTCTCATACCTTAGTTCAGCATAAGGGCGGTTGATGCAGGGGTGTTTGTAAGCTAGTTATGTAACCAAATCCCACTCCACCCCCCAAAAAAAAACAATTAACCTTTCTTTGAAAAAAAATAATATATTTTTTTAGATACTTAATCTTTAGAAATCAGCATAGATTTCACATTTACAGTATGGCTGGCCACACCATAAGAGCTTAGTATTTATAGACAGCAGCAAGTGGCTGTTCAGCCACACAGGTTAATAACAGTCATTGTGTGATTGGTAACTTGATTTACACCATATAAGTGGTTATGTTTTATCTAGGCAGAGAAGCTAAGACTAAAGTATATATTTATGTATAGTGGTTTGTATATGTATATAATGTGGTTTCTACGGTTTCCTTTGTTTTGTTTTTGAGACAGCATCCCGGCTGGTCTGGACCTTGAATTGACGTCCTTGCCTCTGTCTCTTGAGTGCTGGTATTACTTTTGTGGTTTAAACAGCCACAACCAATATATTTCTGATTAGTGATTCATAAAAGATTACACACCTGTAATCCCAGCCACACTCAGGAAGGAGGTAGACACAGAAGTTCATCCTCAACTTCATACCTACTTCAAAGCCAACCTGAACTACAAAAACATGAACACTTTATGTTCATGTGGTACATGTTTTCCTATCATGTGCCTTTCCCTGGAGAGAAATGAACAGACATCCGGCCAGGGTACCACCCTGCTAACATAGGGAACCAGTGAGAGTATTAGAGTACAGATGTTGAAAAGATAACCACATCACTGAAAAGCCCACCCCAGAGTGAGTGGGAACTCAGTATTGCTGCATCTCTGAAGCTCTATACTTGCAAACAGCCCAGCTAACAAAAAGTGTCCTCCCTCCAGCCTTGCAAGTTTTGATTGCTTCCTAAAGGAAATCTTTCAATTTTGTTTTCATTATAAATTCTCAAATTGTTAGGCAGCTTTGGAAATCCAGTTACAAGGGCACACAGGCTGCATTCCACGTTAGTAGAGCTCAGGCACAGGACCACATCTTGGTGAGTGAACCTGAGCTTCACAATGCATTCATACTAGAGAGCCTGCAAAAGAGCTTCTGGCCAGCTGCAGAACAGAATTCCTAGGCTCTTCTTTTAAGCTTATCCCATCCTGTAGAAATAGTATACTTTATTTAAATATCCTCTTTATAGGGACATTTGAAAAATGAAGAGTACTACGATACATGACCTTTTTTTTCAATAAATGACAGTTAAGTGCTTACAGCTCTCAAGGCTCTACAAGGAAGGTGGGAACCCTCTAAAGGGCCCGAAGTGCCTCTCCTAGGTTGCTGCCTGAGGCTTGGGTATTTTCACCAGCCTCCTCTGGCTGTCTCCTTTGGTTGCCAGACCTATCCAAGGACACAATTATAATAATTCATAGATTTTAGGTGGCCTTTTCAATTCTAGAATTGGGCACTATTTTGTCCTACAAAGCAGTATGTTTTCTGAGAACTTTTTTTTTTTTTTGTATATTGAATTATTCTTTGAGAACTTCATAAATACAATGTATTTTTATCTTATTCATTCCCTAGTTCTTCCCCTAAGTCCTCCCAGATCTACTAGCTGCTGTCTCCCAACTTGATGCCCCCCCACCTTTGTTTTTGGCTTTGAAACAAGGTATCTCTAGTCGTGGCTGTTCTGGAGCAGGCTGGCATTGAACTCATCAAAGACCCTCCTGCCTCTGTCTTCTGAGTGCTGTGATTGAAAGTGTGCAGCACCACACCCAGTTTTTTCTTTTTTAAATAATCCATTGAATCAGTTTTTGCTCTCCATATACTACAGTTGTGGGACCATGTCCTGGAGTGTAGCTGACCTACCAGGTGCCATCCTTAAAGAAAGCCAGCTCTTCCTCACCCCCCAAGCAGTCAACTACCCATAACTCTTCAGCTGGTATAGGGACTCATGAGCCACTTTTCTCCATGCTGGAATGCTAACCAACTTGATTCTATAAAGGTCTTATTTTGGTAACCACAGCTACTGAGTTAATGAGTATATGGACTCTGTCATGTGTGGAAGACACTTTTACTTTAGAGACATTTTTACCATAGAATAGAAGGCAGATGTTCTGGCATCTAAGGGTAGAGACTAGGGGTTCTAATCAATAACCTACAGTACACAACTGGTGGGGGGATGTCCTGTGTGCTCTATACTTTGTACCATGACAAAGAATTACCCGGTCCACATGGCAACTGGACTAAGGTTGAGGAATCTTGACTATGCTGCTAATTAAATACTTTGTCTTGTATCCGCATTAGTTAAATCACTACCTTGTCCTTTCTAAATTTATACTGTGTCCTTGCCCTGAACTTGGAATTGCTTGTTCACCTTGAGACATGTCATATGTTGTTGTATAAGAGAATGCAGCTTTTCTCTAAATCTCTGGTTAACAATTATTATCTAAGGACTGGAGGTGTAACACAGGGGTAAAGTGCACACATAAGTAACAACAAATAAATAATCCTTATATCAAATTATTTGTTAAATGGTATGTGACTCCGGACCATCTTAGTATTTTATGCAAAAAGTTTACCTCTCTGGTTATCTGATGTGATACTAGAGACTGCTTTGTTTACCAGACAGAGTTTCTCTGTGTAGTCCTGGCTGTCCTGGAACTCACTCTGTAGACCAGGCTGCCTCTGCCTCCCAAATGCTGGGATTAAAGGCATGCGCCACCACAACCCAGCTAACACTGGAGACTTTTTAAGGCAGGCAATGCTTTATTTAGGTTTTAAAAGCATTTTATTTTGTCATTATGTGGATTAGCGTGTCAGTGTATGAGTATGTACTTGTATGTGCAGATGCCCATGCAGGGCAGAAGAGGGCATTGGATCCCCTGGAGCTGGAGTTACAGGCAGTTGTGAGCCACTTGATGTGGGTACTGGGAACTGAACTCTTGTTTTCTGGAAGAACAATATACATTCTTAACAGCTGAGCCATCTTTCCAGCCTTTACTTGAATTTTTGTGAGACAGGGTCTCATAGAGCCTGGCCTCCTGGCCTTGAACTTGCTGTGTAGCTGAGGATGACCTTGCACTCTTGATCCTCCTGCCTCACCTCCAAATGCCAGGGTTATAGGTGAGTTACCACACCCCAAATATTTAGTGATTTTTTTTTTTTTTAAGTCAGTGAATCAAGCATTGATGTTATTAGGCAGTTCACTGGGAAAGTAAATGGGGAAAAATGGCTGTACTTGTGACTCAGAACATGGCTAGATAACATTTGCAGTTAGATGGGGGAGGGGTCAGAAATGATGTGACAGTGTGAGTCCCATGTACATAATCCATGAGAATGTAGAAGATGCTGGCAAGAGACAAACGTTGAAGGCCACAGAGAAAGGAACAGAGGACTGCATATGCCTGTGCAAATGTATAAGACAGTTTATTTTTCTTTTGTGAGACTGAGTTCTTACTGTGTAGCTTAGGCTGGCTATGAACTCCCAGGTCTACCTACCTCTGCCTCCTGAGATTAACGGTGTTTACAACCAAGCCCAGCTAAAGCAGTGTTTCTGATAAACCAAGGAGTCCAATGTGTCAGAGGTGGCTGAGTTCATGCCAACCTACTGCAGTCATTTTGACTTGGGAATGGGATAGACTTGGGCTACAAGCTGAGGCAGGAGGATTGGACTACATAGTAAAATCCTGTCTCTAAATAAATAAACAAAAGCCAACCCCTGCCTTAAAATAAGCAAAGCTAAGTTCTCTAGTAGAAAACCTTAACCAAAGTTCCAGAATCAAAGGGAACTTTTAAGGACTAAACTTCTGAGCTGAAAGGTGGCTCAGCAACACTTGTAGTGGAAAGACAGCCCAACCTGCAAGTTGTCCTCAATGTCCACAGGCACTCTGGTACATGCATACACACAAATGGGTAAATGCAGTTTTGAAAACAGTGGACCTCTGAGAACTACTGAGAACTACTGGCTCTCTAGCTTTCCTGCCTGACCTTTATAAGAACTTTAGGTATCATTTTACTTTAAGCCTTTCCTAATCCCTCAATATGAAAACATGGCTTTGAAAGTGAGATATAGAAAAATAAGTACATAATGGCTTACATTACTTTAAAAGTATCTATTTTAAGAAATCTGTGTCAGTCTAGTCATGGTGGCAGCTACCTGTGTTCTCATGCTCAGGAGGCTGAAGGAGGTGATCTTGAGTTTGAAGGCAACCTGAGCCACATAGTAATAAGGGAGGCAAGCCTACTTTCTCTGTCTCCAGTAATCCCTCCACTGCTAGTTTCCATACCCTGACTTCAGACAGAGATCTCTCAAAGCAGGCTTTGTTTAAATCTCACTCGTGTGTAACATGAACAATAAAAGACCTAGAGATTGATAATGGGTTTTAAGCTTCAAGCTGAAGATCAGAAAAGCAAAGCAGCTGGGCACTAGCTCTTCCTCTGCCTCAGACTGAAATGGCTGATCCACGAGCTCTCCCAAACCTAAGACTGAAGCCTGTCCGCAATGTGGCTGGAGAATCCTGAGACTTCAAAGTTTTTCTCTCCTCAGTGTGGCTGGAGAATGAATGTCTAATACTGATTACCAGAAGACCTTGCTCCTATCTTTATGCCCCTCTAGTGCTGGGATTAAAGGCATGTGATCCCAGGTGCTGAGATCTTTGTGTGAACTGTTTCTCTTTTAGGCTGATTCACTCTTATGTAGATTTGGGTGGCCTTGAACTCACAGAGATCTATCTACCTCTTAATCCTGAGTCCTGGGATTAAAGGTGTGTACCACCATCTCCTAGCTTCTGGCTGCTGAGATTAAAGGTGTGTATCACCAGTGCCTGATCTCTACAGCTTGAGGCTGACTTTGCTTTCTGAATCTTCAGGCAGCTTTAATAAATCATAAATAATATATCAGCACATTAGTGTGGTTGGGGGTGGTGGCACATTGGTGGTAGACAAGAGGATCAGGAGTTTAAGGTTACCCTCAGCTCTGACTACTAGATTGAGACATACTCTTCAAACAAAAAGAGCTCATTCCTTTTGCCCTGCCAATCCTCCATTTAAAGACTCATGCTGAGTGTGGTTCAGTGATAGAATACTTGCTTAGCACACAAAATAAGGCTGGGTTACAGTCTGGGCCTCTCTACTATATTCTATTGGTTTGTGAGGACATCTTGTGGCTGAACCATTTATAACTATAAACAGGCAACTGGCATTTATTTTGTTTTTGTTCTTCTGATTTACTTGATGTTTAAAACACAGCATTGTTGGAGGTGGCTTATATTATTTCTGTTTGTCCCCCTTTGTGGCCTTCTGTAGAATAAAAACTTGTAAAAGCTGTAATTGTGACTCAGGAAGAAGTCTAAAGACCTCTACATCCCGATTTTATGGGAAGATCAGAAAGAAGTTAGAGGTCACTGCAAGATTTTTATGGAAAACCAAAAGTCTCAGTAGTGAAAGATTTTAATGTGAGGAGTGTTCACAGTGTATGACCTGCTTGCAGAAATTCTGTGATATGAGGAAAGAAGAGGAGGGGGCTATTTTTGATGTTTTTACTTTTTTGTCTTTTTCGGGGGCCCACCACCCAGCTCCCAAATAAATCATGCGCAGAGTATTATTACTTATGAATGCCCAGCCTTAGCTTGTCTTGTTTCTGGCCAGCTTTTCTTATAAATTATCCTGTCTACCTTTTGCCTCTGCGCTTTTCTCTTCTGTAAATCTTCATGGATTGATGTGTAGCTGGATGGCTGACCCCTGACATCCTCCTCTCCTTGTTCTCTTGCTCTCCTCCCTCCTCATTTCTTCTTCTTTTTATCCTCTCTGCCTGCCAGCCCCATCTATCCTTGCTCATGTCTCGTTATTGGCCTTTCAGCTCTTTATTAGACCATCAGTTGTTTTAAACAGGCCAAGAATCACAGCTACACAGTTAACACTGTGAACATAACATAAGTCACTCACCTTAAAATAATATTCTACCACAGGGGATAAAGTCTAGTGGTGGTGATGATGGAGACAAACCATGCCACCACCATGGAAAGGCCTCAAAAGGAACACTTGCCACTTGCTTCCCTTTTTTTTTTTTTTTTTGGTTTGGTTTTTCAAGACAGGGTTTCTCTGTGTAACAGCTCTGGCTGTCCTGGAATTCTATAGACAAAGATGGCTTTGAACGCACAGAGATATGCCTGCCTCTGCTTCCTGAGTGCTGGGATTAAAGGCATGCGCCACAACCACCAGGCTCCAATCCTCTTTTTTTAAGCTGCTTTGCACTATTCATTAATTCGTGTAGGAAACTACTTACATAAAAACTAGAAAACGCCCAATTTAAACCTTTATATTGGTGATTAGAATATGAGATTGTGGGGATTGGTTGGTTGGTTGGTTCGTTCATTAAAAAGGTCCAAAGAGAAACCTGTTAATGCAGATCTGTGATCCTATTATTTAGGAGGCAAGAGTAGACAGTGAGTTCAAAGCCAACCAGGGCTACATAATAAAGACTTGTCTCAAAACAAATATTCAAGAAGATGCTAGGGGGGCTGGAGGGATGGCTTAGATTGTTGTTCTTGGAGAGGACAGGGTTCAGTTCCCAGCCCCACATGATGATCCACAGCCATCCATGACCCGATTGCAGGGGATCCAGCCTTCTCTTACTTGAGTGGGCACCAGGCACACTCATGATGCACAAGATGCTTGGTCACAAAAATAAAGTAAATTTAAATATTAAAAAAATATAAGGAGATTCTTGTACACACAGCACTCTGAATTCTTTAAGATTTATATTTTATTTTATATGTGGTTTCCCTGCAGCTGCCTGTAGAGGCCAAAAGAATCTTCTTGAACTGGAGTTGCAGGTGGTTATGAGCTGCTGCATGGGTGCTAGGAATGAAACTGGGGTCCTCTGCGAGAGCATCAAGTACTCTTAACTGCTGAGCCATCTCAAAGCCCAATGATCCGTGAACTCTGCAAGATAAGGAGTAGCAAACAAACATTTTTTTCCCCTGAACATTCTCTCTCTCTCTCTCTCTCTCTCTCTCTCTCCTCTCTCTCTCTCTCTCTCTCTCTCTCTCTCTCTCTCTCTCTCTCTCTCTCTCTCTCGCTCCCTGTTCCCTCCCCCTTCTTTCTCATTTGCAGCCCTGGCATGCTGATCCCAACTGAGTGCTAGGCGACTTTGTTAAGACCAGGAACCCATCCATGTTCAAAGCTCCAGTGCAGCAGGCAGGAATCTGGGGATGCACTCCTGTCAGGCTTTACTCTGGGAATCGAGTTTCTAGGTTAAGCTAGAAAATAAATTGTACAAAGGTTAATTTCTACCATTAACTGGCAAGTTAACTGGATTTCTGAGGACACCATTTTAGGCAGATTCTGTTTCTTCAAATGACTTTTTAAAAACAAGATTTTGGAGCTAGACATACATGCAGGCAAAAGACACACACACATTTTTAATTAAGGACAAAAATCTCACTGTGGGGGATAGAGAGATGGCGCTGTGGTTAAAACCACATACTAATCTTGCAGAGGACCTGGGTTTGGTTCTTAGCACTAAGGTTAGCTTACAACTGTCTGTTGCTCCATCTCCAGAACACCTTACATCCTATTATGGGCTCAGAATTTGCATGCCATGTGCGTATACTTACACATATATATGCATAATTTAAAATAAAATACGTATCTTTTAAGGTCTCATTAATATAACCCTGGCAGGTACTTAATGCAAGTCCTCCTCCCTTTGTGCCTGACAGAGGGCATTAATGCTGGAATTACAGGTGTGTGGCTCTTTGCTTCCAGCTTCAAGGTAGTTTTTGCTGTGCTGATGTATTTGAACTATTCAAATACCATGAAATTAATGTTTTTTTTTTTTTTTTTTTTTTGTATATATTTGCTTACTATTTAGGTGACACTTGTCTCTGCTGCTCCTGAAAAAGTGGTTTGTGAAATGAAAGTGGAAGAACAGCATACTAACAAGCTCGGTACGCTCCATGGAGGCTTGACAGCAACCTTAATAGATAGCATATCAACCGTGGCTCTGATGTGCACAGAAAGAGGGGCACCTGGAGTCAGTGTTGACATGAACATAACGTACGTATGTACATACCATCCCAGTGATTTTTTTAAAAACTGACAATCGTCTCAAATAACTTACACTATATTGTTTAGGGGATAATGACAAAAATCTATACAGCTGGCAGACATAAGTGCCTTTTTTCAAATATCTTCAATCCATAATTGGTAACTTTCATACAGTCCTTAAAAGTATCACTTGTAAACTGGGCATGGTGTTGCATTCCTTTGATCCCAGCAAAGGCAGGAAGATCTCTTGAGTTCAAGGCCAGCCCTGCCTACAAAGTGAGTTCCAGGATAGCCAAGGCTACACAGAAATCTTAAGAAACAAAAAAAAGGTATCACTTTTGCCAGGTGTAGTGGGACACACCTTTAATCCCAGAATTTGGAGAGCCAAGAAACCTCTGTGAGTCCTAAACAGTCTGGTTGGTCTATTTAGTGAGTTCCAAGCCAGCCTGGACTATTTAGTGAAACCGTTTTAACAAACAACCCCAAAACCCAAAACATTAAAGTGTAATCCCAACACTTGATAAAGACTGGAGGATCAGAAGAGTTCAGAGCCAGTCTCAGCTATATGAAACCCTGTGTTCCCCGTTTCCACCTCCCCCCAAAGAAAAGTGTGAATGACATTTGGAGGAAAGTCGTTGACCATTCCCTAAATATTACCAAAATCTTGCAACAAGGTGAACACGTACCAGGAAGGGATTCCGAATCTCTCCTATGACTTCTGCTGAAATGACAGGACCAGGGAGCAGTGTGTGGCCTAGACCTCAACCATTGTGGAAATGTCTGTAGAAGCCACTTTTCCAATGGCCACTTTCCAGTGGAAAACTTGAGTTCTAAAGCTAGGCAGGTTGGCTCATGTCTTTAATCCTAACACTTGGGAGGTTGAGGCAAGAGGATTTTCAGTTCAAGGTCAGCCTAGGCTACAAAGCAAGACCCAGCTTCAAAACACTGAAGGTTCTATAAAGCCTGAGAACAAATTAAGAGTTCAGTAATCAAATCACAGGACAAAATGTAGAAGATGGACAGAAAAGAGACTTTATGCTAATGACCCATAATGATTAAACCAGATTGATGACTAATTTTCCATGAGGACTCTGTGTTAAATGGAAAAAAGAAGTGGAGAGGTGACTCAGTGGTTAAGAGCATTAACAGTCTTGTAGAGGACCTGAGTTTGGTTCCCAGCATCCACAACATCAAAGCAGACTGCCTGTAACTCCAGCTCAGAGAGACCTGACACTTGTCACCTCCATGGACACTCATATCCACAATCCACATAGAGGTATACACATAATTAAAGATGGCATCTGGACAGCATCAAATACAACTAATGGGGCCAGCCAGATGGTAAGAGTACTTCCTACCAAACCTGATGGTTTCCAGTTGGTTCCTGGAACTCACATAGTAGAATGAGAAGACTGACACCAAGTTTTCTGCTGACCTTCACTCAAACACCATCATGTGTGCAAGCACACACAAAATGAATGCAAACGTAATAATTTTTAAAAACTATAATTGCTTGTGAAGTGGATCTTGACTTGTATGTTTTCTTTATGTAAGGGACCTGAGCATTTATGGGTTTGGTGTGGACAGGTCTTTCTACAATAATCCTCATGGATACAGATGGACAACTATATACGTTGTCAGTTCAACATTCAGACCAGCTGGTTGAAACTGATACCAAAAGCTTGGTAATAGTAGTATCTTTCATCAGTTACTTAATGACTAACTATAATTTAATGTTTTCTTTCAAGGTACATGTCACCTGCTAAAATAGGAGAAGAAATAGTGATCACAGCACATATTCTGAAGCAAGGAAAAACACTTGCATTTGCCTCAGTGGATCTGACCAACAAGGCCACAGGAAAATTAATAGCACAAGGCAGACACACAAAACACCTGGGGAACTGAGGGAACAACAGGGTGACCGGAAGAAGCCCAACAACAATTAAGAGTATAATTTGTAAACAACTTTCTGAAATATTAAAACCAGAAGTAACTAAGGAAGTATTTTCTTCTGGGAAAATAAAGAACCCAAAATGTATGAAGGTTGTGGCTGCCTTTTTTTTTTTTTTTTTTTTTTTTTTTTCTCTTTCCCAGGGCTATCCTGGAACTGTGTAGACCAGGCTGCCCTTATTCTTAGAGATCCACCTTTCCTTACCTCCCTGGTGCTATGATTAAGTGTGTGCCACCAAGTCCAGTGGGGATGTCTTTCTTTTGAAGTATCTTGTTTTAAGTCAGGTGCAGGATAATTGATGAAGGAGTTCTTGGCTCAATGTTTTGGTGTATGAGAGTCTGGTTTTTTGGCACCTAGAATACTCTTAAATCTTCTGCCTCAGCCTCCTGAATGCTGGGATTATAGGTATGTTCCACCTTGCCTGGCTAGTTTTAGTTCACTGTTTTTGTAAGAAGAAAAGCAAAGAAGCTAGACTTTAAGATTACTCTAAAACTGAAGACTAGTATTAAAAGAGAAAGATGAGTTGATATCAGTCAGTACTACAGGCTGGATAGCATATAAACCTTAGAAATGACTTGCAAGTCAGTTTACACCATACATTTCCATTTCCTTTATGAGACATAATAAACTTCAAAATGGAAAGCCACATCATACTGGGAAACTAAAGAACCTGATACACAGCCTAAAAATTTGAAGAGGGAAAAACTAAATACCTATCCCTGCTGACTTTGCATCTTTAGTACAGTAGGGACATAGGAGTCCCTCTGAATCTCCCAGCCTATTGTATTCAAAAGTTAGCAAATTAGTGATGTAGGTCTTAAGTTTGTATGTTCTTAATTTTCCTTTTCTTAGAGCACACTTGATACTTTGTATATAGTTTTGTATCAAGCATAAATCTTTCCTTTAGACTAAAAGGGAATTGTAGTGAGATATTCACTCTGCCTGCACCTGTTGCACTGACCTCACCCGTTGGGGTGATGGGGACAGGTGCCAATGTGACCTGGGAGAACAAGTCTGGGGAGGCTCTCTCCTGCTTCCTGCTTGGAGACAGCATCTGGAGGCATCCTTGGGATGGGAACCTGCTGGCAGTCATCTGTCTCTGTTGTTATTTCTCCCTGAATAAACATCAGCCTGTTTTCCCCAACCCTTATTTTTCCATAATATAGTGGATTTCTGAAAGGTTTCAAAAATTAGAGGATTAAGGTCAGGCACGGTGGTGCACACCTTTAATCCCAGCACTCGGCAGGCAGATCTCTGTGAGTTTGAGGCCAGCCTGGTCAACAACGCGAGTTCCAAGACAGCCAGAGCTGATACCGAGAAACCCTGTCATGAAAACAAATAAAAAGGACTCTTGATTTCATTATAGAGTGGAAAGACAGGGAAAGTGGCTGTCAGTAGACTTGAAATATTTGAGGTCAAAAGTTGTCAATATTAGATACCAAACCTCTGGACTCCTCAGCCATGGACAAATAAGAAACCTAGATCTTGGTTTCTATCCCTTCCGACTAAAAGGACAGGTAAAGAAATGGTTCCAGAGCTAGAGGCTGGGACTCAGCTTGATTTATCTATAAAAGGGCCCAAAACCTGAGTCTTGCATATTGTGGAAGGCGGGCAGGGCTAATACTGAAACATGTTGAGAGTAATTTGAAAAATGTTTTGCAACCATGATTGGTTGGGGCTGGAGATAGCACAATTGTACTGGCTGCTCTTCCAGAGGACCTGAGTTTGATTCCCAACACTGACCTCCACAGGCTTTGCATGTACATGACAGACATGCATGCAGGGCAAAACCTCTATACACAAAGGTTGAAAAACTTTCTGAAGATTGGCTTGGTTGGGCACTAAGATTCATTGTAACTCAAGGGAGGAAAAGAGGACATTTTCATATTGTTTGCCATCAGTCACTAGCAGTAAAGTACATAGTACAGAAACCAAAGTTAGCTTTAAGGAGCAGATGGCATGTGCTTCGGGATATTAACCTGAAGGGTACAAAGTCAAGCTAACCATAGACAAACTGAATTTTTTGAGACAGTTAACTAGAACATGGATGGTACACTGTCATGTTCAAGGCTTGGTAATGATACCATATTTTAGCCGGGAACACCCTTCCACCACCACCAAATCCTGTACTTGTACCAGGGCCATAAGTACCAGTGCAAAAATGAACTGGTTGGATAAATATGGCTTCTGAACTCCCTAATCATGTTGAACACAATGTAACAGTAGTTTTTAAAAAGCCACTGGCCTCTGGTGACTTATATCTTCTACTTATGAGCTTGGGCAAATTTCTCAACCTGTATGTCTACTTCCACTGTTAAAGATAGCTGTAGAACAATGCCTGGCCTCACAGAACCTTCAAAACCCAGCAGTGGCGCTCAAGATGCACACAGGTGGATATCTGTTGTGCTAGTAGTAGACTGGGAGCAAGCTTAACTCTCTTGGTGGTAGTACTGATAGCAGCATCCTGCTCCTACCTTTAAATTGTTGAGTGTTGCCCCCAAATAAGTATTTGATAATTCTTTCATTCAGGATTTGTGGACTCCCTTACTCAGCCCACAGATCTCTGTGAGTTAGAGACCAGCCAGATCTACAGATGGAGTTCCAAGACAGGCTCCAAAGCTACGGAAAAGCACTGTCAGGAAAAACAACAAAAAGAAACTTTCAAAATGTTCTATCAAACTGATTCTACCTTTTAACTAATCAGAGATTATAAATGCCCTTTTACATTAAGAATGTTTTTTTCCCCCTTTTCTGTGAAACAAAGCAAAGGGCAGGGGATTATTGAAGTTGACTATGTGTCTGTCTTAAGTTCTTGTTCAAGTCACAACTGCCAGTTCTTTTTTTCTGAATAAACAAACCTTAAGTGACCAAAGATGTGGGATAAAAAAGTTATCACTGCAAATTTTGTATATTCACCTGAATAGTCAGGAAGCTTTCACCTATTTTATTTAGGTTTCATTTTTTTTTCCAAATTCCAACCAGAAGCTAAATACAAATGGAAACCAGTAAGCACTAGTTTTTACTCCAATGGAGTAGGATCATTCCCATTTACTCCAATAAAAGTATGCAACCCTTAAGCAAAGCTTTTCTTCATTTAAAAGAAAAAAAAAAACCAAAAAACAAAAAAGTAAAAATAAAAAAGCTATACAGTAGTCTTTCTGTATGTTCATTGCACAATTGAGTTCTGCTTTCAGAACTCTTGACACTCTGGTTAATTTTACAATGTAAGATCCCCACTTTTAATATTTTTTTTTCTATTCCAAACACTCAACTTCTTCAGGATGGTGTAGAAACCAGTATTTCTGCAAAATTCACTGGATTTTTTTATTTGTAATTAAATTTTCTAACACCAAAAACAAAACAAAACCAAAAAAAGTCCTCTACTTATGATGGTTTTGCAGCTATGAATGTTCCTGTTTTATAGCTGCATTTAGCCACGCCAGACTCCAGATCTGCTTTAATGTGTATAAATGCATCTGCACACAGCAGAGTACTCTATAACAGCAACTCGGGGAAAGAGATCTGGGAAAAAATACATGTACTAATGAGTACCAAGAAAATAAACATGGCCCAGTGCACATGAGGCAGAAATACCTCAATGAGATGCTTTTTTCATTAAGATTTCTTTCCCATGGTTGTAATTTTTTTTTTAAACAACCATTCTGGCCATTAGAATGAATCTGACAGTGCTCTGGAACAACGGTGATTATAGCAAAGCTATTAACTTTTTGTGTTATTTATACCTGTTACATTCACTCTCACCCTCAATACTGATGACAGATGTCAGAGGCAAAAACCAGCACAAACATGAAGACCACAACACTGAGCATCACCTGTGCTTTCAGATACATTAAGCATTTCAGTGTACAATAGTCCTTCCTTCACATTTTAGTAAGATGCTGATGCAGTGCAGCAACCTGCAAAGCATCTTCCTTCACACAGTCCGTGCAGAAGACATCTAATTTTTTTTTTTTAAAGTTCTGTGATACAAATGATTAAAATAAATCCAGGATGAACAAGTTTCAAAATGCATAGTGTTCTGTGCATGAGTCCATTTTCTTTAAACTCTGAAAGGAAAGTGGTAAGAAAATAAGAAAAGAAAATCGCTGCTGCATTCTCTGGTCTTCTCCATTTTGCTGGTCAATGCTCTTATTTACTCTGGCATATAAGGACGGAGGTGATCCTCTATGGTGCCAACTGCCCAGTGGGTGAGCTGTTCCTGTGGCAGGTAAAGGCAGATGCTGCATAACTTGAAGATGGTGGCTTTGTTTTTTGGAGTCTAGAAGAAAGTGAATTTTTAATAATTTTAATAGTTTTAAAAATTGTCAGCCCCTCACAATTTAAGGCCTATGGCACACTAATAAAGCATCCAAAGCAAGAGATATGTGGTTTCCTATCCAGGCAGGATATGAGAGGAAATAAGAGATGTTTGAAATAAATGCAGAGAATTTATGCATATTTAAGATAAAAATACTAGGGAAGTCACTAGAACTGTCCTGTGCCCTGACCTCCAGCCCTGGAACCAGTTCCAACAAAGAATACACAACAGGGAATCAAGATCTAGGTTTCCTGTCTGCTCTCAAATTGGAAGTGTGCAGATCTGTTTCTAAATAACCAACTTGGTGTTTTTTAACTTGATTTATTCCCAAATTTACTTAAAGCTGCTTTATTCCCCCCCCAACTCTATTCTTGATGATAGCACTGAAACTCCGTTTTGAAATCAAGATTTCAAACCCTTTAAGACTTTGAGAATGCATTAACTTGTTAATGCAATCTTTTCTATACAGTAGATACTGAGAGGTTGAACAGGATTCGAAATATGTTTTCAGTACCATTATCTGAATCACAGGACTTAAACATGCTAGACTGAGTTTCATTTAAAACATAACAAAACATGAGGCTGGTATGGTGGGGCCTAACACTCAGGAGTCAAGAGTCAGGCAGATCTCTGAGTTACTTGAAGGCTTATGTACAGAGACCATGTCTCAAAAACAGTAAAGATTTAAAATGTCACAAAACCCAAGTCACAATAACTTTATGCGAATGCTTTGTGCAATTTAACACCAGGCAGAAACACATTCTCTGAA